AAATAAATTGTGATTTATAATTATGTATATGTGACCATTAATTGTATAATTGTAACCAAATTAATAAATATTTTTAATTAATTNGACCATTAATTGTATAATTGTAACCAAATTAATAAATATTTTTAATTAATTAACTAAATACCTGAGTTTTGCATTTTTTAAACTTAATACCTGCTTTTTGCAATTGTGAAACTTAATGTCTGATTTGTGAACTCTTTCCTTAGGTTTGAGACTTTTGGTGTTGTTGTGTTCAATTAAAATTATTGGCAACTTTTTAGGAGAAATAATGTCGAGTCCTGAGAAATGTGTAATAGTTGTCAATACAGATTAAAATTAATGGTTAATTTTAATTAAATTGAAAAATATTTTTTTATTAACATTAGACAAAGAAAGGCTAAGTCTAAGTCAGAGACGGATTTGGCTTAACCAATTTTAAATTGAGTAACGCTATTTGTAATTGTTCATTACCGTAGTCGTCCTACGTGACATGCACATGACCATTAGTGATTTGATGCATTAACATGATAGATTTTTATTATCTCATGTATCAAATCATTAACCGTCACATATGTGCTACATAGGACAACTACAGTAATGAGCGATTACAAAAAAAAGCATTATTCGAAAAAAATTAGTCTTCATGCTAATTGTCATGCTGATTTGTTGATTCTCAAGAATTTATATCGATTTTTGGTACAATTCATTCGTTACTAACAAACTTTTTTCCCATGTAAACTAAAGTACTTGAACACCAACTTGGGTTTTGATTGTTAACTATTTTAATGGAATAAGATGGCAACAAACAAGATCCTCTCTCAATGGCGATATTTATGTAATGATTTGATTTATCATGCAAAACAAATAATGCGGATTGAAAATAACGTGGGAGTTAAGCAAATTTTGTTGGCTAATTCTTCACCATTTTTTATTAAGATTTAATACAAATAAATAATAGGGTTTTGTATTAAATACGATATCTTTCTCTAAATTTCTAATAAAATACTGAATTCTTCAACTGAAATCTTGAACCTGATGTGTTGGACCTACTAATCACTCGCTCTTCCAATTGAGCCAATATCAGGGGTAGAGTAAGGGGACAATTTTTTTAAATTTTATTTTTCATTTTTTTAGTGAACTGATCCATTGCGAATCAATAGAATTTTTTTATTTTTTATTTATACCTTAAAAAAAAAAAAAAAAAAATTGGGCTTGATGGCAGGCCTGATCCATCCCTCCGCCCCTGACCTATGTTGAAGTCAATTCGATGATAGATACATCGGGAGTATGGATCACTCGACCTACCTCTACATAGTATGACACTTATGCAGATTAACATACATGGACTGTCCAACTTTAGATGTTTATGGACTAGTTTTCATTTGCACTTACGTTCTTTCTATGAGAAGTAGTACTTCCCCATTTATTACTTTCCATTTATTTTTTGACATTTGTTACTATGTTGCATTCAAGAAGTTAGGCTTATACCCATCCTTTTATGTATACTGGCATATTTTATGATATATATATAAGTTTAACCCTCATCTACCTTTGTTGGTGGAGTCTAAAAACTCATACGGGTGTATGGAGTCTTTGCCAAAAAAAAAAGAGGATACATATGCGATGATTTAACGAAATACTTCAAAGAGTGAAAAATAAGAATATGTAGATTCAAAGGTATAATTATATCTTGCTTATTACTCAAATTTTAAAGAAAATTTACCCATTCCACTCCTTTCTCTTATAGGATAATATATCGAGTTCGAATTTGTTATAATAGATTAGAATTAACTAAAGACATCTAACAAGGAAAGGCCTCGAAGCTAGGTCATATTGCGACTCTGCAATTAGGAGACCTTTACTTGAAGTAGAAATGCCCGCTATCCTTTAAATTAATTAATTAACCAAAGTAGAAGTAGGGCTCCAAGTGTCAATTTTGGACCCCCCCTCCCCCGCCCCCCCGCCCTACCCATTTTTTGTTGTTAGGTTAGGTAAAGGATTAAAGCATTGATATTTCAGTGTGTGGCACAATACCAACTCATAATAAAGAAGGTTCAAGTTCAACGAAGATTTGGTACATTTAGGGCTTGTTTGAGCCTATTTTTTACCAAAAAAAGCGTTCTGTAATAGTGTTATAATGGAGAATGTGTGGTTAAAAAATAAGAATTTTTTTTGAACTTGCTTGTAATATTATTTTACTGAAAAATGTGTGGTTATAGAGATGTTAAATCATTATTCAAAAATGAATTTTTGATAGAAAAAATGAGGTTCAAACAAGGCAAAAAATAAGTGAAAATTATACCCACTTTTCAACTTACATTTCAAAAATGAAGTGTAAGGTTTTTTTTCTTTTAAAAATCATGCGTATTCCACATCCCTACCCACCAACCAATCACAAACTCTAAATTATTCTTTTACCCGTTCCCCCAAGTCAATGACACACACCACCATCATTCGTTGTCACCACCACTGACACATCATCGTCCCCACCACATAGGTAACATCGAGCACTGCGCTCGAATGACATCACCTCGAAGCTGTCGGTTGCAGTAGCAGCGTCATGTTGCTGCAACACTAATGGCAGTGCTCCTAAGGTGGTTCACCTCATATGGCCCGACATCGACAAGTGTAGCGCCGTAGAGAAAGGGGGAAATCAGGGTTTGGGTGAGGATTTAAGGATGGGGCATCTAGTGCAATTTGTAAAATTGCATAACCCTACTTGCAATTTCAGATCGGGGTCAATTTGCAAATGATGATTGTTGTTATTGGTGGTGGATAGGGGCGTAGGAAGAGGGGGATAATGCCCAGCCCTCCCCAAGGCCCATTTAATTTTAATGTGAAAAAATAAAAAAAATAAAAAATTGGAAATTTTCTTCACTATGTAACAGTTCAGTAGATTTTTTTAAAAAAAATTTTTGGCCTTCCTGGCTCCACCTCTAGTCGTGCTGGTCGCGGCGATGGTGGTGGAGTAGGATAAAAAATATTTGTGACCAATTATTTGGGTGATTGTAACCAATAAATAATACAAGATCGATAATATGGTAATTTACGATCAATAAATAATATATAACTTAAAAATTGTGTGATTGCGACTAAATTTATATTTGTGACTCATAATTTGTGTTTTTGTTACGGCGATCTTATGCAATTTGTGTCTTGATCATAATTATGTATTATTGTGACTTTTAACATATTAGATGATGACCACAAATGTGACCATCCAATTTTTAAAAGTGTAATTTGAAACCTTTAATTTAAATTAAATTCAACAATTAATTTTTAACAGAACTCTATTGACATAATTCAACACGTTTGGTAGGATTAAAATTTTAATTTAAATTAAAGTCAACAATTAATTTTTAATTACATACCATAATTTGTTAACCACACATTTCACTATTTTTTATCAAAATTTACTAAAAACTTGATTTTAATTCCTACCAAACAAAGGCTAATACAGAAAGCCATCTTATCGTGAAAAAATGTGATTCTTATTTCGATATGTGAAAAATCTCTATTATATTTATAGAAGTGTGGAAGACCAAGACCCGTGTATTTAGTTACATTCGTCAACAATTCAACAGGACAAGAAACGAATGAAATTTACCTTATTGCTTTCGAATTTTATTTTTGATTCTATGTTGTCCAAAAGCATCGAACACATTCGTATCCTGTTTATTATAGTGAAATATTTACACATAACAAAGGGATCGTAAATGTGCCTCTTAAAATTTATCAAGTTATACGTGCGTCTGACGTTAATTTACTTTAGTAGGGTTAATTCTTGAATATTAGAAACTGGTCCCACACACGTTAGCTGTATTTTCATAATTAATTAATTTTAATTGCTAGATTAATCAGAAAATTGGTAATTTCCTAGATTTTAAACTTTCAAGCTTCAATACGACATTGGGGCAATATAGGCCGCTCTTTTAAGTTGGATCATTCAAATGATGGTGATCGAATGCCATGAAAAATTAAGCCTACCCTCATTGAATACGAATTGATTTTCAAATGAGACGGTTGAAACTCCTAGAAATGCCATATTATATCATCAATCCCAACTTCCCAACGACAAATTGCGTTCAAAACGTCATCAAAAGGTATACTTCAGTCTTCCCTTGCCTCCATAAGAGTATAGACTAACAATTCTATTGACAATTCAAGAATAAGCACATAACAAAAGGTTCCTCGGTATACTAAGTCGTTTCAAAAGGAAATTACGACACATTTTTTTTTCTAATTATAGATGCATCAGAGCCAAATCAAGTTGGTGTAATATCAGCAAATTGCTCTAGCAGCAATAATTGTTCAAACGAAGAATCAGTCACACAACCGCTATCACATTTATCAACTAATAAAGATAACAAGGGTCAGTTTGACATGGCTTTTAAAAGCCACTTTTTGACCCGTTTCGTAATTTTATGAAAATGCTTCTACTAGTTACAAGAACTTTTAGAGGAAGTTGATCCAATGTAACTTTCTCTAAAAACTCTTCTGAAAAAGAAAGCCTTTGTCGAAATTGGTTTACAAACACCTACAAGAAGCAGAAGTAAAAGCAGAAATCATGCCAATGGAGCCAAAATACCCCCGAGAGAAACTTCCCAGCTACACCAACACAACTACAAAAGCAAACAATATGACCATTTTAACTACCGCAGGGCAGAAGAAAGACAATGTTATCAACATATTATCTACTTAAAACTGCAGCAGCAAAAGGATCATCACTATTCACAACCCCAACTAAAGCATATAAATGTTGCAAAACGCTGCAGCATTAGTAAACTGAATAACATTCAAAATGATCCATCAAACAAAAAAGCACCTTACTAAAAAAACTACTAGCTATGCTAAAGGGTTGAAGACAATTACCCTACAAAAACTGAAGCTCGGTTTCTATCGAAACTTGCACATCCTCCGTTCTTGGCACAATTTGAAGTCAACATGCTCTCCAAGTCTCCTCCGAAGATATCTTGTCAGTGCCAATCCATCAACAACATTCATGAAAACCCTTTACCGAGCTTTTGAATGGAACTATACATTTTTCTCCGCGAACCAACTGCAATAATCCCCATATCCTTGAGATCCTCCAGAGTCAACAATGGCAAAATCTCATCATCCACTTCATGAACCTCAAATAGCATTGCATACTTCACTAATCCCAATTGATTCAACCAAATCCTCACTCCATCTCTATCCCTATCTATTTCTACTCGCCCCACCTCCCCATCCATTTCATTCGAATCCCAAGCCACTCTCAGCCTCCTCCTCCTCTCCTCAACACCCACACCATCATAATCACCACTCACTGTGTTATTTCCTTTGTCATAAATCAAGTTAAAGGGGCTAGGTAGGTCCGAATTTTCATGCTCAAAATTTCTAGGAATGTCATAATGACCGCCCGAATTCTTTTCTTCCTCATCCCCTTCTTGATTTTCGCTTTCGCGACTGCTAGATAATTGAAAATTTTCATTTTCTTTGACTAAATTTTCACGAGATTTCACAGAAACCCATTTATTAGAAATCGAAGGCCTGATACTCTTTCTTCTAGCTTCCGATTTCAAATTCCTCCAAGTCCCAATCACCACATCGCCATCATCAAAATCCATCATCTCCTTTTCTTTTTCATTACTAAAGCAACTCACAACGCTATTCTTTCTAGTATTACTAAGTGTAGTTTTTACCTGTCGCCTTTTTTTCAGTCCTACATCTTTCTTGAGGGGCACCCGTTGCTTGCGGGACATGCAATTTCCGGGTTCCTCGTCGTAGGGTTGGTGAAATCTCACGCTGGGCCGCCGCATTCGTTTAAGGGTTCCCACATCCTCCTCCGCCTCTACTGCTTCGCCGCCGCCGGTCCCCATTTTTCTTTATGCCGGTAATGTTGAAGCCCCCCTTCTCTTTCTACGAATGTATTTTGTAGGCTGGCTATTTATATATGCATGTATATATACAATATATATAGAGAGAGAGAAGCAAAATCGTGAGTTAAAGGATATAGTCGCGACTCGTGAGTAGCGAACTGACGGTGGGACTCCTGTTGTTGAAGAAGGTGTTGGGGGAAGGACACGTGTGATTTGCGGTGGCAGGGTGGGGGGAGGGGACAAAGGATGAAAAATAAAGAAGCACGATTGAGCTATTTCTGTAAAAAAATATTTCCTTTCTTTTTTCCCTTTTGCCCCCCTCAAAATCACCAATATAGCCTCAAAGTAACTCAAGAATGGAAAATGAGCAAGGAAATCCAAGAAAAACAAGAATAAAACAAAAGGATGTTTTATAACCATTCACATCAGCTAAAGGTTTATAGAATGCAAGAATGAAAAGAAAAAAAAATCCCATTTATTTCTTGTCATCTTCTGTATTCCTTCTATGTTTGAAAAATAGAACCCCATATGCTGCCAGATTGAAATTTGCAGCATTGTATTGTGGGTTCGTGTTAGATGCTCCAGAACAACTTAGTAATTCTCGATGTATCAAAAATTTCCAGGCATCTCGCGGTATATGACTAGAAAATCAGCTTCCATTTCATGGCACCATGCAGAGTAGGCCGTGTCCTGGATTGTGTTCCAAAGGATACATTGTGGTACCTTTTACGTACTTTTGATGCTCGATAGCAGCTTTCTTAAAGCCTGACATTGAAGTGATCTTTCCTTTCTGTCGCTTCTCGATGATAGAGCATGCAGCTAGTGGATCTGCAGATCCAGCTCCAATCCTCCTATTTGCACACATACAAGATCAAGGTTGTGACACAAACAAATTCAACTGAAAGCACAAGGTTGTAAGACAATGAAACACCCCAAAGATAATGTTTGACCACAAGTAAAAATAAGTAAGTTCTAAAATAAATAATTTTTTTATTAGTCATGTATATTTAGGTTACTTATTTGACTTACCAAGAATTACTTTGAAAGTAAAAAATTTTACTTGAGAGCATGAAAAAGGAAAGTCATTTAAACAAACACATTCAGAGACAACTTTCACATTTTTTTAAGCTTAGCCAAGCAGTGGCGGAGCTAGGATTTTCACATAGGGGGAGTGAAAAATGTTGGAAGGGCAAAATATACATGTAATATGTATATATTAAAAAGAATTCTATAAAACCCCAATATAATCGAGAAAAAATTGAAAAGTTGCGGAGGCGCCGATTTGGCTCCGCCACTGTGGCCAAGTATACTCTTAGCCCTTGATCGATGGCCATTATTTGAGAAAAATAATGTTTCGCATAGTGATTTAGGAAAATGTGTGGTTAAAAAGTATGGGAACATTTTTGGTTTACGTGCAAAATTTTTTTATTGTATAAATGTGTGGTTGAAAATAAATATATAGAAAAAATAGTTTTTAAATAATGACCATCAAACAGGGGCTTAATATCGAGAAGACAAAGGTTCCGGCTCATTTTACCACTTGAACGACAGCTATCATCATCATTCAGAAGACTACATCTGTTTTATTCCATAGTCCAAGTTAAGCAGGATATTATGATTGGTACAGTTTTGATCGACAGATTTTTTGGAGCATATATATTTTGAATAATCAAAACATTTGTTCCTGGACTTTCGCAACCATGTTATTTAGGTTGCAAGAACAAGTACTAAAACTAAATGTATATTCACCCATCAATGTGATTTTGTTGAAACTTCAGCGTAGACTACGTTAAGCAGAAGGTTATACAAGGATCAAATATTGAGAATGGATTGAATAAGCAATCCAGGAAAAAATAATTTGTTTGTGTAATTATCAAATTTTAACTGTGTTCAAACCAATGCAGTTAAGTGAACAGTGGTTCAAGTATCAAGACATGGTAAAAGGTGATAAAGGGAAAAGGACTAAAGATTACCTTAACACTTTTTCCGATGCAATTCGGGCAGCAGTAATTAAGCTGTGGCTTGGTACCCACTTCACAACACGATTTGGATCCGCTCGCATTGGAGAATGGATTTTGATAAGCTTAAAGAACATAAAGAAGAAATGTTACATTGAAACTTCTTGGTGGGGAAGGAAAATGTCTTGAAAGGACATGTAAAACAAACACTTTCAAGTGTCCTTCACTTTCTCTAAATATTTGGGTGAAAATATTATTTAAGAGAAGTTTAGTCACTGGATGCTCTCCTATAACATATCAACCAAGACATAAGGAATGAGATAAAGGTATGAACTTACTCCAAGGCATTCCATCATTTGATAGTAAGCCCTACCATGTAGAGGGGTATGACCTTGTCTAGACTCCGAGAAATAACGAGTCCTGAGACAATATCAAGGCTCCATTATTACTTAAACATTGCAATAACCAAAATAATTTTCACTAGATTGGAGATCTTGAATGTGGCTTACAATTTACATACCATTCTTTATAACCGGGATCGACAGTGAAACCATACATATCAACAGTGTCACACATGGAGAGAGCAAATTCAAGAGCCTTCAGCCCAGTTCCTTTTGCAGCTGAACCAAAGGATGAACCCAGTATGAGATATACTGGATTGAGAATTGGAACTTCCTGCAGAAAACAAAGCCCAGAATTTGACAATTATAGTATAACAAAGAGAAAGGCTACGAGCAAATGTTCCATATAAATAATTAAACCATCAGCAACCTACAGATACTGTCTTGCACACTCACTGTCTGGTGGGGAAGAAAAGTTCTATGCGAATTATACCAAGGGAAATATTTTGGCAACCCTTTTACATCAATTGAAAAAAAGTATTCACTTGACAGAATCAGACTTAATCTACATGACCAACAAGAGAAAGTACACACCCTGATCATTTTGCTCATGATATCATGTATTGTAGTTTTGACGATCAAGACCTCCTTCCCCTTATCTGTAGAATAAATTTTTTTTAGCATGCTTCCTTATGAGAAAAGGGCCTCAAGATATGTGAATCGTACAAATACCATACAACTCGGCAACTTTATCAAGAGCTTTAGCAGAGCCCCTGTTCAGAAGGCGGAACGTACTTTTTGTACCCACATATTCTGTAAAGTTCTGCATACACAGATGAGCAGTACTCAAGCATAAGAATGAGTAAGTTATTAGTTTGTCAGGGAAAACCAATGAATAAAGGACACCAACCTCTATAGGCGCTCCATTCTCCCTGACAACTGCATCATACCTATCTATTTCGTTGCCAAATTTGGTCTTCAGAAGATCTCCTGAGTTACCAATAACAGCACATCGGCCAAACTGCCTCGGTATGTATGGTGGTCTTTGTGGGAGAACCAGAGAAAGTTTCTCCATGCAGAGAGTTCTATTTTCACAACGGTTCCTGCAGTGAAAAAGAAATTTTCAGATTATACAGGATTATGTAACAAAACTTCAGCTGCTATTGACAACTCAATATAAATATATAATGACCAATATAGTAGAAGAAAACACAACATTGTCATGCATCATTAGATCTTCTTAACTTTAAAATGGAAACATTAGTACCCAATAATTTAGTACAGACAGAATGGGATGCCGGGGTTGGGTGGGTGGGGACTGTGAGAGAGAGCCAAACAGATGGACAGAGAAACCCAAGAACCCAATTGTAATGACACTAATGTTGTAGTGCTGGTCTGCTTGACATCAGATCAATCAATAAAGTCATCCATTTTAAACTGACATGAGTGCAAGTAGGCTGAGTTTATGCATTTAAATTAACCACAATTAAGCTTGTGAGCACTTTACATAGGTACACTAACAAAAGGGCGATCCCTGTTCCAGTGGGCAACACTTGGGAAAAAGATAAATAAAGCGCCTTCATTTCTTAATATGGTAGCATAATGTTCAGGTAAACATAGATGTTCTTGTAAGAATTAATGTCCCACATAACCGAAAATACTGGTTATTTGTGTCACCGTCAATTTTGTAAAGTAAACTGGTGATTAGGCAGTCCACTTACTCTCAGATTTTGATAACCCCTTTCAAGTGCTAAAAATCATTCTCTTCATATCTTATTTGAACCACCAAAGGGTGCTTCCATTTTCTCATAAATAACACAATAACACGTTTAATGCAAATCGAAAACAAATAATTTTTACTTCATTTACAGAAGTGCGGAAAACACCCTACATATCTTGGCTGCATGCCCATAATTCCAGTCATCGAAAAGTCACAGGAAAGAGGGTGAAGTTGAGAGAAATAATTTTTCTACAACTTTTTTATTCATCACATGGATCCTGGTACGTAAATAAATCTTGTAACTATTATTTCCGCATTATAGAGATTGTGAATAACATGATAGTTGAAAATCCTGATTAACGTATTATAGTCTATAATTATTACATGTGGTATCAAAGCCATGATTGAAACTATCACGTTTTTCCTTTTCAATATTGAAAGTTTTTATGGATCCTGATCTGCATTAATTGTATCGTTTTGTTGATAAAAATTGCTATACATATTAAATCAAATTCTGCTTTTATTTTGGTACGTTCCTTGAAAGCAAAATCAAGAGAGTGGATGAATTCATGTACATTCATGTCAATTGCTAGTTTACCGTTTGAATAAGTCAAAAATGGTAGCTAAATTACACAATTGTTATCTTTGATATAAAGGGTAATATCAAGAGTTACGTGAAATCAGCACTATTATATTATTTACTGAAAAATCGCTGTTTACCATTTTAATGTGCCCTAACAGTTCATAAATAATTCAAGATAGTGCTAGGCTAGAGTTGTAAGATTCTGTTGGGATTTAAATATCATATATATCAGATTTATGCCTCATTTCTCCTATCCCAAAAATTAAAGTGTGTGACTGTAATTCTGTTCACCTCAAATTATGTATCGATTGCAAACCAGTAATTGAGTTTGACATCTGTCTTTAAGTTTATGAGGATTATATGATTGGATTATATGTTTGTATTTATGTACACTTTTTGCTTAAACTGATTTTATTTTGCGTCGTTATTTTATCAACCAATATTTATATTATGGTTTGCTTGTTGTCACCAAAGTGACCTTGCTAAAAATGTTATAAATGTCAAATCAAATTATAACTTTGCAAAATAGAATTACAGAATGGTTATTTGATTATTATAAATTCGATCCAAAGATGCACCAACATTCAAATAATCCTTAAATTAAAGTTAAATAGGATAATTGATAAAATTCATAGTAAAATTGGAATGTATGCCCAAAGGTGACAAACCAATTGAACTTTGAAAGGTTATCAATTATGCCTAGGTAAGTGAAAACTACAATTAAAGTTTAAATGCTAGTATATTGCTTTAGTTAATCCAAAGATTGAACGCAATAGTACTAATGAAAGTATTTCTCTCAAAGCATTAATGTTATGATTGTATGTATTGCAATGTCAGTTCCTGTTTCGCTTCATTCGCTAGCTTCATCTATTCTAATCTTTAATGGATCAAATTTATCTGATTGGGAGGAACAGATCCAATTTCATCTCAGTGTTCTGGATCTTGATTTAGCTTTGCGAATTGACAAACCGGATGCTATTATAGAAACAATCAGTTGCGGAAGAGCAAAAGTCACGGGAAAGATCGAATGGGTTAGGCATTATGTTTATGCGCATGTGTATGGCGAATAATATTAAGTTAATGCTTCCTCAAAATGATAATGCAAAGGAATATCTCAAGACTGTGGAAGATTGCTTTCGTTTAGCACATAAGTCCCTTTGGGGGATATTAATGGCTCAACTTACCACCATGAAATTTGATGGTAATCATGGGATGCACGAACATGTCCTTGAAATGACTAATCTGGCTGCTAGACTCAAAAATCTGGGAATGAATGTTGATGCAAGTTCCATTGTTCAATTTATTCTGAATTCCTTGCCTACACAGTATGGGCCATTTCAAATTCACTATAACACTACTAATGAAAAGTGGAATGTGAATGAATTGGCAAGTATGCTTGCTCAAGAAGAGGCAAGGCTTAAGCAACAAGGTCAGCATTTAGTAAATGTTTTGAGTCATAGAGCTGGAAATAAAGGAAAGAAACCGAAGAAGAGCTTCAAGAAAGATCCATTAAAGATTGTTGGAAACTCTAATGCCATTGGGGTTCACAAGAAGGAACATAATGGACCGAATCATGGCTCTGGGCATTTAAAGAAAGATTGTCCGAAATGTAGGGCTTGGTTTGAAAAGAAAGGTGAGCTTCTAACTTATATATGTTTCGAATCAAATATGACTCAAGTTCCTTCTACTACATGGTGGATGGACTCTAATTCTACTATTCATATTTCAAATTCGATGCAGGGATACCTTTCAATCCAGAACATAAAGGAAAATGAGCATTTCATAATCTTGGGAAATGGAATGGAAGTACCAGTTTTTGGTGTTGGAACTTTTCATTTGTTTTTAGAATCAGGCCATTATTTGGACCTATTTGATACTCATTATATTCCTTCTCTTTATAGAAATTTAGTTGGCATAAACGATTGGGGCATATATCTGGAGAAAGGATGGAGAGAGTAGTAAAAGATGGGATTCTCTTAGATCTTGATTTTACTAATTTTGATGTGTGTGGATTGCATTAAAGGAAAGCAAACCAAACATACAAAGAAAGGAGCTACAAGAAGTGAAGAACTTTTAGAGATTGTCCATACTAATATTTGTGGACCTTCCGACTCGCCATCACTTGGTGAGAAAAGTATTTTATCACCTTCATTGATGATTTTTCGCGCTACAATTATGTCTATTTGTTGTATGAAAAGTCTCCAGCAATAAATGCTTTAAAGACATATAATGCTGAAGTCGAGAGACAATTAAACAAAAAGATGAAAATCATTCGATCTAACAGAGGTGGTGAGTATTATGGAAGGTATGATGGAGTAAGACAATGTCTAGGACATTTTGCTAAATTCCTAGAAGAGCATGGCATTTGACTGCAATACACAATGCCGGTACGCCTCAACAGAATGGTGTAGCTAAAAGGCGAAATCGTACTCTTATGGAAATGGTTGGGAGTATGTTAAGAAACTCCTCGGTACCCATTTCGTTGTAGATGGAAGCCCTTAAGACCGTTGTTTATTTGCTTAACTGGGTTCCTAGTAAGGCAGTTCAAAAAACCCTTTTTAAAATGTGACAGGAAAGAAGCCGAGCTTACGGCACCTTATTCAAAAAACCCTTTTTAAAATCTACAATCCACATGAAAAGAAATTGGATTCTAGAACTGTAAGTGGGTACTTTATTGGGTAACTAGAGAAGTCCAATGGGTATATGTTCTACTGTCCCAGCCATAGTACGAAGATTGTAGAAATCGGAAACGCCAAATTTCTTGAGAATTGTGAAATTAGTGGGAGTGATACATTACGTAATGCGATCATCCAAGAAGTTCGGGTGCCTATCCCGATACCAGTAACTTCAAGGGAAATTGTTGTTTCTCCTGTTGTAGAACGGTATATCAATGCCGAACAACAATCTAGTAATCAATCACTCCATAATGAGATTGTCACTAATGAACCGGTTGCGGAACAACCATAAGAAATAGTACTAAGAAGATCTCAAAGAGTAATGAGATTAGCTATTTCAGATGATTATTTGGTATATCTGCAAGAATCTGATTAAGATTTAGGGACGAGTAAAGATCCGGTTTCATTTTCACAGGCCATTGAAAGTGCTGATTCTGAAAGTAGATCAATGCTATGAATGATTAGTTGAAATCAATGGAACAGAATGAAGTTTGGGATGTCGTTGATTTGCCTGAAGTTTCTAAGTCAGTAGGGTGTAAATGGGTCTTTAAAACCATATGTGATTGTTATGGCAATGTTGAACGACAAAACTAGACTTGTTGCAAAAGGTTTCACTAAAAAAGGAGGTGTTGATTACAAAGAGACGTCCTCTCCTATATCGAAAAAGGACTCTCTTAGAATCATAATAGCTCTAGTAGCTCATTTTGATTTGGAATTACATCATATGGATATGAAAACTGCTTTTTTAAATGGGAATTTAGATGAAGAGGTTTATATGGATCAACTTGAAGGTTTCTTGAATAAAGGAAAGGAACATATGGTATGCTAATTAAAAAAGTCGATATATGGACTCAAACAAGCTTCCAAACAATGGTATATTAAGTTTAATGATACCATCACGTCCATAGGATTTAAGGAAAACACTGTCGATCGGTGTATATATTTGAAGGTCGGTGAGAGTAAGTTTATTTTCCTGGTTCTGTATGATGACGATATATTGCTTGCTAGTAGTGATCTTGCTTTATTACATGAAACCAAGAAATTTCTTTCTATGAACTTTGAAATAAAAGAAATGGGTGAGGCAACCTACATGACGTGATAGATCAAGTGGAGTGTTAAGGTTGTCTCAAAAAGGATATATCGATAAAGTTCTTGAAAATTTTAATATGGCTAATTGTGCTACTACCACTCCTGCTCCTATTTGTAAAGGGGACAAATTAAGTGAAAAGGATCGTCCACACAATGCACTGGAAGAGAAAAGTACGGAAAATATTCCTTATGCATTTGTTGTTGGAAAATTGATGTATACACAGACTTGTACGAGACCACGCATTAGCTTTGTAGTTGGTATGCTAGGGAGATACCAAAGTAATCCCGAAGTTGAGCATTGGAAAGCAGCGAAGGTGTTGAGGTATTTGAATGGAACCAGGCAATACATGTTGACGTATCGAAGATCTGATCAATTGGAGGTGATTGGTTACTTCGACTCAAATTTTGCGTGTTGTGTTGCCAATTGAAAATCAAGGTTACGTGTTCCTATTAGCTGTAGGATTAATATCATGGAGGAGTGCCAAACAATCCGTCATAGCAGCATCTACCATGGAAGCTAAATTTGTGGCATGCTTTGAGGCCACAGTTCGTGCATTATGGCTGCGGAATTTTATCTCAGGACTTGGAACTGTCGACAGTATTGCCTGGTTGTTAAGAGTGTATTGTGATAATTCCGCAGCAGTCATTTTCTCCAAGAACGACAAATATGCTAATGGCTCTAAGCACACAGAGCTCAAATATTTGGTTGTTAAGAAAGAATTTCATAAACAAAGAGTGTCTATAGAACACATTAAGACTGAGTTGATGATTGCAGATCCTTTAAATAAAGAATTACCACCAAAGACATTTAAAGAGCATATTGATCGTATGGGTCTTGGTTTTAATCCATGAGTTTTATTTATGGATCTCAATATTTATATTTTGTTCTAAGACATTGATAGAGATCTCGTTTACCGTCTTTATGATATTTTCTTGTTTTTCCATGTATTTCGTAATTATGGAAATGGATTATTGATAACAAGAATTGTCTTTATGACAAAGACATTATTGGGACATTGTAGTTACTTCCCCTTGTGGATTGTGATTTACTAGCATTGTGGTACATGGAAGGAAAAATGTCGCTATAATGATATTTACCGCCATGACTCATGTTGGTAAATTATTTAATTATGATATTATCGTAATCTCACTAAAGTGCAAATGACCTGATGTTATGCGCATATTATATTTACCTTATCAATTCAAATAAGGATCGTTGTTATATGGGCCAAGTGGGAGAATGTAAGAATTAATGTCCCACATGACCGAAAATAATTGACTTTATTTGAATTTTAAATATTAAGGTAGTTATTTGCTCTAAAAAAGATAAGCACATCTATTTTAGTGAAATATTTTAGTGGAGGTTATTATCCTATTAACCACGTTTATGGGGAGTGGTTTTTTTTGGTAGGAAAATTGTCCTCTCTTTACCCTACATATCTTGGCTGCATACCCATAATTCCAGTCATTGTAAAGTCACGAGAAGGAAGGTGAAGTTGAGAGAAGTAGTTTTTCTACAGCATTTTTATACATCACAAGGATCCTGGTATGTAAATAAACCTTGTATCTATTATTTCTGCATTATAATGATTGTGAATATAATGATAGTTGAAAATCCTGATTAAAGTACTATAGTCTATAATTATTACAGTTCTTCCACTTTAAGAAACGAAAAACATAGATGTCTTCCACTTCAAGAAAATGCAGTAAGCTAGAATCTCACAATTGATTAGCTTGATCCATAATATTGTTTTAGAGAAGGGAATCGAAAATTCAATACATAAAGTGGAATCCAATAATGCGCTTTCCAGCATTTTTTAACATTTCATTAGATGCTATAGCTATAATTATAAGTGAATATAATCTGCAACGCATTTTAGTCCTTTGCATTTACTTCATTCTCTCTCTCTGTATTCTTTGAATGGTTAATAACTTGTTCATTTGCATAATTATTAGCTTTAAAACTTGTGTATAAAAGACACTTACAGAAGTACTCCCTTATTGATCCTCCGCCATGCATATTCCTCCCATCCATTTGGTAAAGCATCGATGTACTCCCGCGTCAATATCGTCGTAGTATTCCGCACCTGAGCAAGTTCCTCGCTAAATAATAAATCAGTTGTAGCACATGAAGTAATATTCATTAAAACGAATGTGGATCCATGAACAATTAAAGACCAATGATCAAACTCAAAGAATTTAGAGGACAAAATAAGCTCCTAATGGATACATATTAGAAGATTTTTCCTTTGAGATGACAAGAACGATATCATACGCTGAACCATTTTCGAGATATCTTTATCTTGAAAATTTAAGCACTGTTAAAGATATGGAAAGAATAATCTCTATGATATTTTTCCAATAGTGTAGGATTATTTTCCTTAATAATTGATTGTATAATTATTATGCAATCTTTCCTTTTAGAGTTATTTATAACCCTATAAATAGGGTCTTTTACTTTGTAATAGAAACGAGTTTATTATATACAATTTATAATATTCTTCACATAGTATCAGAGCAGTTTCGATCCTAAACAAATTAATCTTTGAATTTGCCGCTCGTCCGGCTACGAATGTTTTTTTTTTTATTGGGCTGTTAGAGTAATTGGACCAATTATTTAATTGATTTGATTTTACTGTGGAATATATGGGAGTTGGGCATTTTCTCCTCTTAAACTTGTTTGGAGTTTTTTCAGCTTTTGGTAATCTGGAATTTGGTCCAATTCATTTGGAATTTGGTTTAGTATATATCCAGTTCATCTGGAATTTGATCCGATTTATTTGGAATTTGGTTTAATATATGTCCAGTTCATCTGAAATTTGGTCCAGTTCATTTGGAATTTGGTTTAATATATGTCCAGTTCATCTGGAATTTGATTTATTGTTGGTTCGGTGTATCCGAAATTTGAAATTTGCACCCAATTTATTTGGTATTTATCGAGCTGGAATTTGAAATTTGTGTCTAGTTCATTTGGTATTGGTCGAGCTGGAATTTGAAATTTGCATTCAATTAATTTGGATATGTAATTTGCATCCCTTTGGTTTAGTAGTGGATGCGTTGGTTACTTGCAGATATGGGTGTTCCTTGTTCCTCTCCAACCCGTATTGAGATTGACTCTCATCTGATTTCTCCTTCAAATCTTGATGATGGTTTGATTAGATTGGTGGACGATGATTTTTCATTATCATCAACTTTGAGTTATTTGTTCAGCTTGATTGACATACAAGCAATTTTGAAAATTTGATTGGATCGATTTATCTTTCAAACTCAATTTGATTGATGCTACACCATATTGAGTTTGAGGGAGGGTGTTGAAGATGTGGAAAGAATAATCTCCAATAGTGTAGGATTATTTTCTTTAATAGTTGATTGTATAATTATTATGCAATCTTTCCTTTTAGAGTTATTTATAGCTCTATAAATAGGGTCTTTTACTTTATAATAGAAACAAGTTTATTATATACAATTTATAATATTCTTCACAAGAACGAAATGGGAAGACATTCTAATAAATTTTGCAGATAGGAAGCTGACCTGTTCCCATGTAGCTACTGCTTCACATAGATTGAAATCAAAAGACAATCCTTCGAGTTCTCCTGTTTTAGGATCTCTCTGTTTTCAGTGGAATCACGTGCTTGTGTTAAACCACCGGAATAGGGATAAGGCTGTAAGAGAAAATTAAAAGCACCTAAAGGAAAAACCTACCCACTTTGGGACTGTTTCCATGGGAAACTTCATAGTAATCTCACAGTAGTCCCTGCCGCTTACAGCTTGTAAACCTAGTCCATTTGCACTCTGCAAGGTGCACCATATAGTCAATGCACTATAACAACATCTAGACAAAGCAACACGGCTCGATTATATGATGCAAAAATATAATGAGAAGTGAGAACCAGTTCCTTTCTGCCCAGGATATTCTACATTGTAAACTTACAAAATAAAAAATCTCCTTGAAAATATGGAGTCCTACTATAACTCACTTAAATCAATAATTTTGTCATTTGCATTGTCACCTAAGGGAGTATTCTATTTACATCCATTTCCTAGGAAGCCAGAAAAAATGGTGAACAGACTAGCATCTACCCACTGGGAAGTTAGAATACGGAGGGCCTTTGCCAGGAGAGGCACTACCATTTGAGGGGCTAAATCATAGCCTAATGAATTCCACCTGCACTTAGTGTGTTCAGACTTCAGAGTAGCCAACTTAGATTCACAACCCCACACAAAATGTTGACCTTTGACCCTTTTTTGAGTGTGTAACTATCTGCCATCTGGCCATTGCCAAGGAACTACCACCGCTTGTTAATGATAGGTAAGATCCCCGTGGGATAGAAATTTGTTGTAAAAGAGCAATGCAAATTAAGAAATCCTACTTTTAATCAAAAATTTCAATTTAATGCAGACGAGACACACAAAGACAAACAGTAGGCAGCTAGGAAATCAAATTAATGATTTCTATAAAAGTTCAGCTCAATCCTAATTCAGATAACTAATTTCATACTTCATCTTAGGGATACACCCACTACCCAGATTTCAACCCTACCTATATTTCACAAATTTTGAATGAACTTGAAAAATAAATCGAAAAAATTTAAATCCAATCCCTCCAACTACCGAAAAAACGAGAATAAAGACAGAAGGAATACTCACCACGCACTGCTGGAAATGACTCTGCAAGGATCTCAGTGCTTCCAGATCTTCATTTGAAATATGAAACGACCAATCTGTACATACAAAATTTACATTCATTGTATACATAATTACACGCATTTAGTTAAAATACATATTTTATACAATAGAAATAAAGAATTATTGAATTCTAAACTGTACCCGGATTGGAGACACCGGTGATGTAAATAAGTATTGCTGCGAGTCCAGAGGCCAGAGCAATAACAAAACCCAGCCGTAAAAGCCTCATCGAACTGTATCAAGAACAAAATGATAACAAGCTACGAAATTAAACTGGGTTTCTCTCTACTCTATCACTCTTCAGGTGGATCTATATAGCTGATGATGACAAAAGGATCTAGAAGTTACGGTGTGATTTGAGTGCTTTGAAGAGAGGGAGGATTTTATTTCATAATGTACAACGAGCCCATGACTTTTGAGTAATTGCGTTACCAATTTAAACATTTTGCCCGAATAAATTTAACACTTTTAATGACATCCTCACACATTTGTGGTGAGATCCACGTGGTATCCATATGAATTAAAATGGAAAACAAAAATCCTGAGGGTGTCAAACCTTTCCCGACAGCCCAACACTGCTCTTGCGTTACATGCCTACACTTTTTAAAATTAGGCAAAATTCACTACAAATATTTTAGTCGACACTTAAAAAACACATAATGGATTGCAGGTGTGTATGATTTGGTTCGACTCAATTTCAATAAGAAACGAATTAAATTGGGTATAAATGAGAATTCTATAGTGGAATAAATAATTTTATTTAAAGTAATGAAATCAAAATCGACTTCTCTTATTTTTGTCGATTCATTCTATGCACCAAACAAAATTTGTAAAGTGCAAATTGTTAATTAATTATTCGTTTCACTTTTATAATTGTTGACATTTGAATTTGGTGGGACTTGAAAATCAACGGATGTCGACTCCTTTCTCATCTACTTGAAAGTTACCTGCACACATGAACAAATACATGAGAAAGCACATAGCACTTTGCTCCGGGAGAGGGCGGGGGGGGGGGGGGGGG